AATCACATCTTGACATCTATGTCAATGTTGATTTCTGAGCAGACGGTCAAGGTACTCCTGACGTCTAAGTTACTAACTCTGAGTCTCTTACATCTGCCTATGTAATTTTCTCGATAGACTACCATAAACACACTTTGACCTATTCCGTCATAGTTTCTTTAGAACATCTGACGAAACAATTGCGTATTTTGACATTACTATGTCAGATGCAATTAAAGAATAGTTTTTTTAATGATTTTGGGGTGGAAGATATGCTGAACCAAAAAAATGCTTGCAGTGGGAAGTATATTCCGTATACAACAGTCGACCGATCAAGATTCGAGTTAGCTTGTTCTCGCGTGAAGGAAAGCAAACAACGCGATGGTGTTTATTTGGATAGTGATTAGCGGTACGGGCATTATAACTTCCCATTTTCGAGAAGTTAATATTTTTTGTCTGCAATATTGCTACTGGAAGTTTTATTCTATTTATCCGACAAATTGAGCTTTTAGATTAGCGACGGTTCCCAGAGCACAACAGCATCACAAGATTACCGTAATGGTGGGATTTAAGTCAAAATTGGTCGAGGCAACGTTCAGTCAATTTATGCTCATTTAATAATTAATTAACGATTAATTGTTAATCAATTTGTTATCGGATAAAAATTTTTCATTTTATCTAAAACTTTGCTTTGCTTGAAATGGTCATCTATAGCCTGTAGGTTATGATAACTAACAAAAAATTTATTTATTTATTTCAAATGGCAGGCGTTTAGATTGTTATCATTAACTCTTAAGCAGACTTCGGACTTCTCAGAGGGGAGTAACATCATAGTGTGAAAAAATCGAGAGGGTAGAGGAAGGAAGAGTGCTTCACAGATGTAAAGAGACAGATGGACACAAAGGCAGAGAAAAGGTAAGATGAGTACTGTTAAACTGGTCAATTTTGGCATAGAGTGGGGTCATGGTAGTTTGAAGTCAGAAGTCAACTTTTTGCCGTATGAGTTTACTTTGCCCAAGGTGTACCACGTGGAAGTAAGTCTATCGCGCGCCCCCTTTCAAAGAAAATAATTTTAGGTGATGTCAAACTATTAAGTTTTCTTTGTAATCGAAGAGCTTTAAAGCATATACTTGTGAGAAGGAATGGAGAGCTTCGATTTTCACAATTTACCAATCCAGTTTGTTCTCTATTTAGCTCAACCTCATCGATATGCCTAATCATTTCTACCGCCTTAAGTTTTGATAAATTTCATCCCACAATTGCTAACTCAACATTTTGAACGACTCAATGGAAATAGAAGTTGCGCAACTGAAGACGATGATAACCATTGCGTTTGCGGAACAGTATTGTTATTGATGATACAAATGAGCTGCTTCATCTTTTGTGTGTGTGTGTGTGTGTGTGGAAGGCAAAAGGCTCACTAATTCCGCAATAGCTTTTGAAAGCATTACAAAGTTTTGCTCACGCAACATTCACCTTGAATAATTCAAGAAGAGAGAAGATGTCATGATAAGGTGATAAAGCAAGTTTGAAGTATCTGCTCTCCCCACACCCCTCCTTTCTTCTCCTTTCAAGATTGAGAGGGTGTCTGCATGAATTATGCAGGTAAAGTGGGAGAACTTTCTACTCATCACAAACTGTCTATTTTATGCAATCCGATAAGAAACAATATATAGCGCAATGAACTATGTCATTTCCCCGACGAAACGGTATTGAAATTTTGAGTTAGACGCAATCTCAAATATTAATTAGGCATCAATATTATGCTAATGCTAATCAATCTATGTATATATATGTATCTTGGATACAAGGGGCGAGAGTATTGGGATTGTATGCTCAATCATCCCAATTAAAACATGGCTAAGTAGCACCCAACCTACTGGCAATAAGGTGATTCATATCCATAAGGATCGATCCGGGTGTGTCAAATTTGAAACACTACAGCCATTTAGTATTAAAAACGAGCACAATATATTTGGAGATTAGTTTATTTAGGGTTTATGTCACATTTTTTACTCATCTGGTCAACAGTAACATTTTTCTTGCTTCTATGCTGTAATAATTAGACAATTAGAAAGTTTGTTAATCAGTAGATTTAGCTCTATTTTGCTTTTATATTTCAGGTGCTCGAGAACTGCGAAATAGTTTTTAACTCAAAAATTTGTGTAAAGGCACATATGTTTCGAATTCGATCCTCCATATAAGATGAGCTCAAAGCCAGCCAAGTGTATTGATTATTTGGAATAATTGATCAATAACTTTAAACACCCTCGCGAGAAATTTGCCGTTGAAACCTCGGATCCGTGATTATAATGGCTAGGATTTAACGACATTTTTTATTAACCCTTTAATACCCGAATCACTTTTTTTTGAAAAATGTACCCAACTGTACTCACGCGTGTCTCACAGCAGAATGATGCCGCCGACGTGAGGAGTTTCGGCGGTGTATCAGGCGAGAGCTACATAGACGTATTGAACATGTTGCAAACGCCAATAGCGTTTTGTGTTTCGAGTCGATTACCAATGGAGATTATTTTGAAAGAGGATTGCACAGTCCTAAGAGCGTTCAAGGGTTAGTATGAAGGCCTATCGTCATTCTTGAAAAATAAAGAGAGTCTAATGGGTTCTTGAACGGTTCGTTCGAAGTAGCTTCTCTGATAAAAATAAGATTTACTTAAGCCTCTGTTCATGATCATTGTGTATATTTTTATCTAACTGATCAAGACAACCAATCTAACCACTAGGCCAATAGGTAAAACTAAATTCTTTAATAATTCCTCGCCTTTTTAGACTTTTCAAATCTTGTCAAAATCTGCACTATCTCCATTCCCAAATTAAGCTGTAATTTTGACTAAGTAAATTGCTCCTTGCAACTAGGAACAAGTTTCACCAATATCGGTAAACCCACACGCGAAAATTTATTTTTAAACAAATTTGCATTCCATTAGAGTATGAATAATCCAGACGCGTGGATTTTTCGTCCTTGACAAGAAAAGGCACTGATCATTGAAAATGCCCACCACAACGATTTTACACGTCCATTCGTCGAGCCTATTTAATATTGCTCTTTATGGGGCGTGCGATAGACTTACCTCCACATGGTGCACCCTGGGCAACTTATACTCATACGGCAAAAAGTCTATCACCTGGCAGTTGACTTCTCACTTCAAACTACCATCATCCCACTGTATGTCATATTCGACCACTTCAACAGTACTCATCTTACCTTTTCTCTGCCTTTGTGTCTGTCCGTCTCTTTTACATCTTTGAATCGCTCTTCTGTTCCGCACTCCTCGGCTTTCTGTTACTTTGAAGAAACTTCCCTCTGTGAAGCCCGAAATCAGCCAAGGGGCAAATGATAACTAACAAAACGCCTACTTGTTTGAAATAACTAAATATTACTCTTTACCATTTTAGACAGCATTTCTACTATTAGGTCGTGGTAAGATCACCAATTATTATTTGTGCAGTGGCCTTTTTCTCATTCTTGGTGTTAGAATATTGGACATTATTGTAAAATTTTACGTTTTAATATAAAGTGGGCATTTTCAATCTCAAATTAGTTCTTTTGATTACAACTTCTTATGACTTATGCTTGCAATGCGCCTCTCAACTAAATAGGTCGGTGGTGTGTATTGTGTTTTGAACTTATAAAGTACTGGATGCAGACTTTCCTCTGTTAGGAGGCTTGTGAACTATTGGAGGGTGGAAATGCTGGCGAAAGCCAAGATTTGTTCAAGGAAGCTGGTATTCAATGTAGGCGTTTCAACATGCCTAAATCCGACAGGACCTTTCTTCTTAATAGTAGAGAAAAAGAGGTGCCAATGAAAGATTTATTAAAGCAATAGTAAATACTCTAAATAAAGTTGGTTATAACAAATGAACAATTATCAACGAATTTCGATATTAGCTATTATTCCCCCGTCAATTAATTACCCATCAAAGCCGCCGAAAACTAGTAATTAGACACTTCCAAACTTACCTCTCCTAGAAATATCGATTGGACGAAAGAAGTTGAGTGTCGATGCTAGACGAATCCTAAAATAGCAATCAAAATGAATTCAGCTTGGTTAATATACTCTATTCGGCTGAAAGAACAATCTATTTGGCAAATTTTGGCCGTTCATGCCAACACTAATAGGTTCTAGTAGTGACAACTAACATTCATAGTTAATATTTGACGGAAGAACATCAATTCAGAGTCTTTATAAACCATTCCATATGCCTGCGACTTTTTCCTTCAGTTTCCTGAGTGTGCACTAATGAGCTTCAAAAGTTTGGCGAATGAATTGACGAGAGTACAGGTGCACCCAAATATTATCATTGAGGGGCTTCTTTAGAATTATCAGTACTATTAGATTTGGATTTCGAGTTGCAAGCCAACAAGGATGTTGATACCGAGAAATTGGAAACAAACTAAGGTTGTGACTAGTACGTCAGCTTGCACGCCAGCAGGATAACAAGTTCGACAAGGTCACTTTCTCTCAATCCATGCACTCAGTGGGTTGTTTTATTCATATCTCAATTTGATCTCCATCTTATATTAGCCTGCCTTCTTTATCAGGACGTCCCTAATACAGACCTATTCAGGATAAGTTTTCTTCCTAATAGTCACACAAGTCCCAACAGAACATTCGCAAAAAATACATTTGTTAAGAGCATCAAAAATTTACTATTGAGGTGGAGATTTTGGTATGTTTAAATGAGTAAGAAGAGGGATTCTCTGGAGCTCCACTGTGGCGCAATTGATATGAACGGGTCCGCTTTTGCTCTAAGTTCTGCACCATGCCGGTCAAAATCGTTCATTTCAGTAGTAATGCATCTTTGAGAGGGATAAAAATAAGCACAAGCAAGTTCTGTGCAGTGTAAATTTAGAGGAAGTTGGGAAGGGTGCATATTGAATTGGGAAATCAGGAGCAAACTGACTTCAACATTTAAGTGATGATTCGATGAAGGGAACAAAATAAGGATCTTTGATGCGAGGAGAGGGTTTAACTGCGAAAGAAAATAACTATCGATAGTCAATGCTTCGGACCAGCACTTGGAGCACGACGCGTAGCCGGCCAAAGGGGAATAAGGTGATTTCGAGTTGAGGTTACTTGATTAGTCAGTGGAGGGCCTTGATTTCGAGTAGATGAATTATGTCCAAGGTGTAGATCGGATTGGAGCGTTCCGGCTTTTGTTGCTGTTGGAGTGTTGATGGAGTCACTGCCAGCTCTTTTATTAAGTTGGGAGCAGCTTCCACTTATCCAAGGAAACGCCTAGTTGGGAGCAAAGAATAGTTATTGCAGTAAATCATCATAAGATAATATCCATTTCATATAAATTACTCATAGGTGTCATATATGGTAGCCACCAATCAAAAGAGCTGCATTATTTAAACAGCCAATCAAATTCTACCTTGTATGGATATCCAGCACGGAACCAACCAGCATCCAGGGCTCTGCAGGTACTATCGACGAACAAATATAAGCAACCAGGACTTCAAGAGATATGTGAGCACTCTCTTATACTCTCTCCCTATTTAAGTTCACACTTTTGTATTGCATTAAATAGAAAACTATTTCTCAAATTAAGAGGTGTGCGGTAGACTAACCTCCACGTGGTGCACCCTAGGCAACATAAACAAAATAGTCCTTGAACCGGCAGTTGACTTCTGACTTCCGGCTACCATGACACTACTGTATATCATATTCGACCACATCCACAGTACACACCCTTCCTTTTTTCTCTGCTTTTGTGCCTACCTCTTTTACATCTGTGAATCACTCTTCTATCCCCCCCCCCATTTGAATTTTTCCAACTTCGATGTTCTACCCCTCTGTGAAGCCTGAAGTCAACTGAAGGGCTAATGATAACTATCAATACGCCTGCCACTTGAAATAAATAGAATAAATAAATCTCTCAAATCAACGATTATTCTATTCTAGCTTCTCGTCGTAAAAATTGATTAATTTATAAGAATAACCACGAAAAAGAAAGCATCAATTTCTTATTACAGAAAAGATTGTTATATTACAAATGCAGCAAACTCTATAAACTCCGGATTACCAGTCGCTGAAACTCCACGAAAGAGGAAAACGGTGAAACTGCCATCAAATGTTCCTGACGTTTCTATCTTCTGAGACTTATAATAGGAGGCGCGTTTATTAATAAAACAAGTAGACAGTACGACAAAATTTTCTCCCCATATTGGGATTTTCTTTCCTGCTTTCCTAAATGAAGGATTTTAAAACTAATCCAGTGCTGTAAATAGAAAAAAACCGAAATATATTGGCCATTTTATTGAAAAATAGTCCCTCCTATTCGAAGTTTAACATCCAGCTAGGATATTTTGAAAATATCCTTAAAGAAGTCGTTGCATTATTTATTTTAAAATTTATAATGGCATGAAGATTTTCAAAACTCCCAACCTTTAATAATATGCCTTTCAAGAAATATTGTTTGAATCTCATGTGACTTAATTTGAAACAGAAAGTTATTGCACTTTTAGTACGGAAGGCTGTGACTATATATTTTAAACAAATATTCACAGAGCTTAACCCTAATTGACATCTTTGAAGTTTAACTAGGCGCAGACAAGTATAACTATCCTGTAGCGGAGTGCCAAAGTTGGCTACGTCCAAAGTAGCAAGAATACAGGAGATGTCGGATGCAGTTAGCTTCATTGAAAAACAGAATTGTAATTGAATTAAAAATTAAAGCTACGAGGCACGAATATTGATCGTTGATTGGCTAGTAGGACCCCGTATGCACATTCGCGCTTGCTCGATAAGTGATTGATGACCTGCTAGTGCTCTCTTGGATATTCAAACATGACCGAAATCTCCTAGGTCGGCCTTAGTGGCCTTGAACACTTCAAAAGATTGCTTTGTATAAAAAGTAACTTCATTAATTCATGATTAACAAGAAAAATAGAAGAAATCTGGTAGATCCGCACAGTAGTCAGTTTAATCTTTTACTTAGTCTCATGTAAATCACATGCCCACGATTCGATTCAATACTTCAAGTGAAACATTTGCATTTGTATACAGATACAAGTCACTCAAGTGATCTGTAAATTGCAAAAAAAGTACATATTCACTGATTTTGTTTTTCGTTAGAAGTGCTTTATTTGATCGTCCTTGCAGAAATTAGTGCTCTATGACCCAATGCTCACCTAAAGTTAGACGTTTTGACATAAGTTGTTGTCCAGAATTATTACTATTATTTCAAATGGCAGGCTTTATGATATTTATCATTAGCCCCTTAGTTGTCTTCAGCTTTTCCCATGGGTGACGGGGGGTGCATATATAGCAGTTAATTAATAGCAGTTCATTAGTTGTCTTCTGGCTTCCCAGTATCTCTGGATCTCCGTCGTTGTCTTTAGGGCTGGACACCGAATCAGGTGGGTCTTCTCCATTTCCTCCTGTTGGTCACATAAGGGGATTGGTAACCAAAGTAGTGTATTTATTACTTCATAGGTATGTACCAGTTCGACTTAATTGAACAAGTTTTAAAAATTAAAATTATAAATACACTTCGAAACACGGGGTTAATAAAAGTTTAACGATCAAGTGAATTATCACTATCAAAGCATTCAATCTGCCAGTATTAAAAATGATTCGCGAGTATCATTTATGCTAGGCCATCAAGAGCCGGCCAAATATTGATCATTTTTCATTATATTCACTCAAGGTGCATTTCGGCATTGGATACCGAAATAGCAGGTAGGCAGTAGAGGAAAGATTGGGGATTGAGTATACACAAGGAGGTACGAGTTTATTGAATAACATTAAGACTAAAATCACACTTCTAACCATTGGGTGAAAAATGCAAGGTTACACAACATTTTATTTTCAATTTGGCCACTTTTCTAAATATCACATGTGGATCACAAAAATTACTAAAGTAATTCAAAGAATGAACTGACTTACAGCTGGCTGAAGTTTAACTGCGGTTCCCTTGCTATTCAGGGAGCACACACTTCCCACCAATTTTCTTTGATCTGCTCTCACGAAACCGTGGTGTGTTGGACCATTCGGAGATTGTTCTGTAACAGTCGCCTGCAAATTAATTGGTTGTGGTAGCGACTTCTTGGGATTCTGTAATGATATGCCGTCTAAGCAGATGAGTGGAGTTGTGGCATCGTTTGGTGATGGCCTTGGGTTTGAGACCTCTTCAGGGGCCTCTGACTGAACTGATGGGCATTTAGACGAAGAATTTCTCATTTCCTCAAAATAAGGAAGCTGCAATAGAGTCGCACAGCTGCTCCGACCACTTGGATTCATTACTAGGCATGACTAAGAGTAAAGCGGTCATTTTGTTTCATTTAAAAAATACGCCAATCAAGTAATGTTCAAATACTACTTATTCTCTACTTAAGGTTACACCAATTCCGCACTTTCACGTCTTACTCAACTTTTTTATGGATTCTCCACGCTTGCATACATTTGTTCGCCCTGGACAAAGTTAAGGACCTATTCATTAGGCTGCCTAATATATTTACTCTCTTTAACTTTACTTTATGTCCTCCCAATTACCAGTGTCAACGAACAATTTCTAAATCGTTGTTCCTTGGACATGTTTCCTGATGTGAAGTACTGGCGCTTCACTTTTCCTCGCATTGGTCAGGCCGTAATTGGTATCCTTTGGCAGGGAGGGAGAGGGGGTGGGGGGGGGGGTTAGACTAGAAAAAATAGCAACGACAAACGACCCCGCTATTTTCAACTACAAGGAGCATAAAAAAAGGCCCACGTTTATCTATAACTTATTCTTCCGATAGCATGGCCAGTCTCATTATGTTTACTTAATTGATTGCACTGATAAAAATTGTCAACGTCAAATGAAGACAATTACAACGAGGTGTTGAGGCAAAAAATTGGCCACTATCCCCCTCCCCCTTCTTTGCTTTCTATGCGCATAATTACCACGCTTGACACTATCTTTCTGGTTCTTAAATCTCTTACTTTCATCCATGCCTGTGAGGCCTTAAACCTTGCCATGGTTTAATCTCAATAATTATATTCACCTTTAAAACTTCTAATTCCTCAGGAGTAATTTTCGGTCGCATGCCCTCGAATTTTACCTCCAATGGTTCCTAAAAAGAAAGCAGACGGTAAATATCGGATCGCCTTTGAAACAATCAAAAATAGGGCTTGACTGGTTTTGAACTGATTGTAATTAACATAAATCTTGTTTCCTAATGCAATTTCTTTCGTAGATTAAAAAATAATTCAAGAAATCTTCTACTATCTATTATGAGTAGGTATTTATCGCATTAACTGAAAGTTAACTATCGTTCTCAGTTCAGATAATGCAATCCCGAATACTGTGTCTTTATAAATAATGAAAAATAGTACCAATTGCTAAATTACTCTGGGATGACATGTAACATCCCACCAGTAGATATAGTTTGTTATTGCTATGACAACCAGTAATAATAGAAAGATCAACTTATGTCCGGAAACGGGTTTAAGAGTTTTTTGCATTTATCTCTTACCTTAAACGATTATAGAAATAACTAGTGAGTTTGGAAAAGCGTTAAAAAACAACTCGTTTTAATTCAATTTCATAAAACGCACTCTGCTTTGTGGCCGGGGTAACACGACGCCGGTGAAATAGCTGTTAGTTAAAAAGGTCTTCTGTTGTTGCGGAAGCAAGTTGCCTGCAAGTTGGGAAGGCAGAAATGAAAAAATGGACAAAAATATCAGATAATATATATATATATATATATATTTCCAATAAAGTTAAACTAGAATATTATTCACAAAAACTTCTCTGCATCAATTACTTGTTCAAACTAACAAGAGTGTTTTTAATTTTCGGTAACTATATTTGAATAGCATCAATATCTTCATTTAGGATGTTAGGAAAGAAGGCATTAACCAAGATTTATTGCTCTTCATTATTTCTACGTTTTAAAAATAAATTGATTCACTCCATTAAACTTCCGCTAAAATTCCCGCTTTATACCGCGCATAAAAATATCATCAAACGAGAGGTTCTAAGATGATATGATAATTGATTAAATCAATGTTCAAAAAATAGAGCACCAAAACAACCAATAAATAAATAAATATTTACATTTAATTAAGTAAATGAGGCAGGCGCTACTTCTTTTTAGTCTCTAGAACTATTTGATTTTTAAATTTTTTTAAAAACATTGCCATATTAATATTGCAATTAGCTCTTCCTCCATTCTAACGTAAAGTAAGGAAGGGATGTCTCACCGAGATTTTTCGTGATAAGGTAGAGTTGGTCGAGATCTGAGCGTCCTGGCCAAAGTGGTAGACGGGTGAGCATCTCGGCAAAAACGCATCCCACCGCCCAGACATCCACTGGAGGTCCGTAATGGGTATCACCCACTAGGAGCTCGGGAGAACGATACCATCTTGTTGCCACGTAGTCAGTGTAGGTATCTTCGGCGTCAGCTAAGAATAAGGTTGCTCATATGATACTCATTAAAATATATTTATGTATATAAAATTAACTATTAATTGAAGCCACCAAACACTTGCATATTTAGTATTTTCTCTCTGCATCAAATATCACATCTGTAAATCTGGTCCATTTTGCTATATCATGTTTGCTTAGTATCATGTTTGTTTCTATGAATTTAAGAAAGAGAGAACCGTTTGAAACATGGGACCATAATTGGTTAACCATAATCAAAGCTTTTTAACTCAGAGAGGCTACAAATTCCAAGGTCATTTGAAAAGGAGTTTTGTACTCTGGAATTTAGTAAATTTAATTATGGATACTTTCATATTCATTTTAAAGAATGACTTTGGATTTAATTAGGATTTACTCAAAGCAATTTCGTACTGTTACTTTTGAAAAAGTGCATTTGGCATTGCCACCTCTCAAGATAGGAAATAGAAACAATCCCTCCACCCCTCCCCACCCCCCAATTCGTTCTAGATTAATACTGTCTTTTGATGAAAATCCGCACTTGACAAACTTCAATTCAAAAATAGAGGGTAATAATGACATTTTCAATTTAAGTCTTCCTTGAAAAATAACTAACTCAGTAAATAAATATTGGCGCAAATATCATGATGAACGAAATTTTGAGGTGATTTTGAAAATCACAATTGGGCAAAGATTACCGCTTCAGATATAAGGGAAGAAAATTCATGATTGGAGGTGTTTTAATCTCCAATTCATAGATGTTTGTTGATAGAGCCTTCAGTGTTTTAGTGACTACTTTTGCAAAATATTGGAGAATAAGTTGGCATATTACCAAGGAATCGTGCAAACCCAAAGTCGCATAGTTTCACGTCGCCTTGTGAGTTGATTAGTATGTTCTCAGGCTTGATGTCGCGATGAATGCACTATGAGGAGGAAGAAAAGATGTTTTGGTATTTACCAGCAAGAGGAAGAATTACAAGAAAGCTGCCTACTTACATTTGACTGATGGCAAAAGTTGATACCCTGTAGAATTTGCCATGTAATTCGCATTATTTTGTCTCGCACGATGCCGCTAACAATGTTAAAAAAATACGCAAAAAATAGTTTTAAAATTGTGTATTCTAATTCTAATTATAATTCAATTGGAATAAAGAGTAGAGAACTTACTTTGGCCCTTGTGTATCAAGTTCATGTAGAAGGCTCCGGTCAATATACTCGAATACAAGATGGAGCTTCTTTTTCCGACGGAATACTTCGATTAGGTTCACCAAATTTGGATGCTTTAGTCTCTGGAAGCAGTAATTAAAATTTGCTATTAACAGATATATCATCTCCATCAAATATTGCCGATTGTCTAAAATTTGGGGATTTTAACCGGGTAAAACAACTGCAAGCACTTGATTAATTACATCATGCATATTTCGCCCTTGGGATAAGCGATAGCCTTACCTCCACGTGGGTCACCCTGGGCTACGCATACTCATACGACAAAATAGTCCTTGAACCGACAGTTAACTTCTGACTTCAAACTACCATGACCCTACTGTATGTCAAATTTGACCACTTCCACGGTACTCACCTTATTTTTTACTCTACCTTTGAGTCTGACCGTCTGTCTCTTTTAAATCTGCAAATAACTCTTCTGTTCCCCTCTCGACCTCTTGGTGTCTTTGATATTTCTCCACTCTGTGAAACCCTATGTCAACTAAATGGCTAATGATAATTGTCATAAACCCCGCCAATTGAAATAAATAGATACTTAGTCTATTCAGGTATTATTTTAAAATATATCAAATGTCTAAAGTTAAATCAAATAACTCCTTTCTTGCCTCCACTATTTTGAAAAATTCATCAAAAGATAGCGAAATAATCTAGTTATGTCAATCCTAATTAATTTCACGTAGGAAACAACATGGGTTCTTAATCTGTTCACTGTAGATCGAGTTGAAATGTATTACCTCTTTCACTGTACTACTATAAATTACATTGGTTAAAGTTCTTTTCATTTAACTAAGATTACAGAGATGCGCTTAATGCTTTCCTTTTGAGTAGAGTTGGAGAAATTTGGTGTCGGTTAGCCTCCATCCACCTCTGTGATCTCAAGTAAGCTTTGATATGTTAGAAACGCCTGGACTGATGTTAAATAATTCGTTGCAGTTCTTGAAAGAGAACTTTCATTAAGGTAGTATGGCTAATAGTTGAATTTTTGCCGTTTTTAACACTCAGAACTGGAATGGAAAAACACACTGCTTAATAATGCGGCAGTGTTACAATTGTATCTCAAAGAATCTGATTAATATTTTCCGCATTTAGGAATATTCCACTGTTGGTCAAAACTTTCTTTTTTTTTATTAATCTTTATTTCAATTCAGTTCACAAAGTTTGCCACCTATTTGGGAATTTAAATATTTAATCAATGTACCACCATATCAAAGTTATACCAGTAAAAAATTTTAACTATTTTATTATTAGTATTGTAATTTTGCACGAAATTAATATGACAAATTTCTAAAACATTACTTTCAACATTTTGACTTCTCGAAGAGCGATTTTCCTAACTAGAGGATCATCGTCCGACGCATTGAATCGTTTGACAGCAACCATTTCGCCCGTCTGAGTGTCTAGACACTTGAAGACCATCCCGTAGGCCCCTTCTCCAATTTTCGAGAGTTTTTCGTATCGATTAAATAATAAGCGAGTACTAAAAAATGAGAGAAATAACAAAAATAACAAAAAATATCAAATCATACAAACGAACCTGATAACACCATTTTAGTGGAGCAATCTTACTAATGACTACCATGGGAGTAACATACTTCATTAATGTTTGAATTGGCTTAATTTATTTAAATTATAATAATTTTGATTTGCAAATTTATCTCAGAGTACCAATGTTGTTCAATTTAAAAATAATTTAAAGTTAAACTATTTGAAATAAAAATTTAACCCGCAGTAAACTGTTGCTAAGTGAAATATTAGTCGTTAATCGCAGATATTTTTGTTTATCTAATATCGAATTAAAGTTTCATGTCAAATTAACTAAAACGTTTTAAACTGAATCAACAGGACTTTTCAGCTGCCTTTTAGAGAATTCAACGTGATTCATTCACCTAATTGGCCAATAACATTTTATTGGGTTGGCAACTAAGTCATTGCCGTTTTTGTTGACGGATTCACTCTATACATTCTTTTGTTTTGTTAACGTGGCCAGAGCATCTAACCTATATTTTTTCTTACTGTATGGGCTTCTAGGTTAATTAGTAAAAAATTTTTTTGTTTAGTTCTTTAGTTTTGTTTTTATCCCAATTTAAAAATGAAAGAACAGGACGTGCACTTCCGACACATTTTATTGTATTACTTCCGAAAAGGCAAGAACGCATCGCAAGCACAAAAGAAGTTATGTGCCGTATATGGAGATGAAGCCTTAAAAGAAAGGCAGTGTCGAAATTGGTTTGAAAGATTTCGTTGCGGTGATTTTTCACTGAAAAATTCACAACGATCTGGCCGCCCAGTCGAAGTGGATGAAACCCATATCAAGGCCATTATCGATTCAAATCGTCACAGCACAACACGAGATATTGCAGAGAAGCTCAATGTGTCGCATACATGCATTGAAAAAAAATTAAAAACCCTTGGTTATGTCAAGAAACTTGATTTATGGATCCCTCACCAGTTAAAGGAAATTCACTTGACGCAACGGATTAGCATCTGTGATTCGCCGCTACTGAAACACAATGAGAATGATCCATTTCTGAAGAACCTAGTTACTGGCGACGAAAAGTGGATAGTTTATAACAATGTTACTCGCAAGAGATCATGGGTGAAGCAAGATCAACCAGCCCAAACAGTATCAAAAGCAGAGATTCACCAAAAAAAGATTATGCTGTCAGTGTGGTGGGATCACAAAGGAATTTTGTAATTTGAAGTCATGCCGCAGAACCAAACGATAAATTCAAATGTGTATGTTGAAGAACTGGAAAAACTGAAGGATGCAGTTGAAGATAAGCGGCCGGCATTATCAAATCGGAAGGGTGTTATTTTCCATCATGATAACGCAAGGCCCCCCCCCACACATCTTTGGTTACTCGGCAAAAATTATTGGAACTGGGTTGGGATGTTTAGTCACACCCACCATATAGCCCTGACCTTGCGCCTTCGGATTACTATTTGTTTCGCTCCATGCAAAACTCTTTAAATGGTAAAATTTTTAACAACGCGGATGATGTCGGATCACACCTAATTCAGTTTTTTAATAGCAAAGACCAGACATTTTACGAACGGGGAATTTCTACTCTGCCAGAACGATGGAAAAAGGCCATCGACAAGAACAGCCAAAATCTAATTGAATAAAGTTATATTTTTAAACAAAATTCCGAATTTGCCTTCTTATTTGAAATCGGCAATGACTTAGTTGCCAACCTAATAGATGGAGGCTGAAACTCGAATGATTTTCTGTTGAAGATAGAACGGGTTATGCTCTTTATCAAAATTGATGAAATGTTTTATTGCATCACTACTCTAGCGATTATAACATTTGTTATATTGTTATTAGTATCATTGTATTCAAAGTGAAGCAGCAATTTAATGCTAACTTTACTTACTTATTTGACCTTTGAACCCGGGAGTCATGACCTTTACTTTGCGATCGACCTGATGATGAACCCTCCAAACTACATTTTCGAGGGGATGGACTTGGTTGGTCATGCTTCATTGGCGGTTCAAGTTGCAAACTCTTGTTTGTAACTGTTGTGGGTTCCATATTGGACAAAATATCTGTAAGAGGAATAAAAATGTGAATTCAGCCTCTTCCATTGGTGAAATATTGCTGGAGTTAAATTAAATCTGCATTTAAGGTACAAAATTGCTTAAATTGTATTGGTCTTAAGAATCGATTGAGAGAAATAGACGTAAACTTATTTACAATTATTGTTAGGAATGGTTTAAATAGGTCGATCTGGTTTTTGGCAAGGATTAAAAATTGAAAGCTCCTTCGAGGTTCAATTCGAAGTAGAGGTAACAATGCGAATTATTCCAGAGCAGGTATCACTCTCTAATCCACTGCTTCAACTCCTGGGGATGCACCCAATCAGATTCAGGGCGTCGCCCCAGTTGGTCGGTTGACATGGCGACCGCCTATAGCCGCTATTTTCTTTTCTCTGCTATTGCTTTCTCCGGCTAAAGTATCCGTGAGTCTGGCCTCCTAACTATGAAGGCGACCTCAGCGTTGTTTCTTTTTTAGTGTCACTACCAATTTTGTTTTTGCAATCTATTCGCAGTTTTGGCTTTTCCATCCATGTAGGGGGAGGGGATATTTAAAGTAAAATGTGGTTTCACATATTGCTACTTTTTTTGAGTTGAATAAATTACATTAAGTTTTCAAGTATATTGCACCTTATGCCCACACCAACAATACATCCATTCTCTAAAGCAAAGCTCAAATACTTTTTCCTTGTTTTCAAGAAAGTTTACACACAGTGCACGTGGATTCTATATGGCATTTCGTATTATTCTTTACAATGTAGGCTTACTCTAAGAAAGTGACCTCTGATTTTCATATTAGGCTCAGAGGAGGCATCTTTGTCCCCATAATTTTTTAAAATTCTTAGCTCTGGGGATCCGCTTATAACAATTTGGCCTATATTGCTAATTATTCTGATCGATGACAGTTTCCAATTCGTGAACATCAGGCTGGCGAATTAACTGAACGGTGTGCATCCGATGGCCAAATCAGCGAACCAGCTCCATTAATACTAACCGAAATAGATCAGGATAGATAGCTAACAGTGTTCTAATAGAAAAATTATAGACTGGCATTTCGTTATCAAAGTTAAATTTTGAAAAATATGTACAATGTGACTTAGAACCAAATTCTACTAATTAAATGCATTTGTCTGGATATCCCTTTTTTAGTGTAAAGGGCAATGATTCATTGATTCCAGCCGACCATGGTGCAAAGACACATCGACTTAATTAATTAAATAAATAATTATTAATAAAATTATTGCCCCGATGTACCGACTCTTGCCGTTCTATAGCATTGTTTGGTGATTTAAATTGTCAATTTAGCATATTCCAGTGCATGACATGAATATTTTTAAAAAATGATTTAGTATTTTCATACCCTGTTAGAAAATATCATAAATATGCAATTATATCTCTTATAATATTATTATGCCGGGGTGTGCGATAGACTTACCTCCACGTGGTGCACCCTGGGCAACGTATACTCATACGACAAAAAAAGTCTATTACCTGGCAGCTGACTTCTCACTTCAAACTACCACGACCCCCTCGATGCCATATTCTCCCACTTCCACAGAACTCACCCTACCTTTTCTCTGCCTTTGTGTCTGTCTCTTTAATAACTGTAAATCACTTTTCTGTTCCCCACCCCTTGACTTTCTGTTACTTTGATGTTCCTCCTCCTCTCTGTGAAGCCCGAAGTCACCTATAGGGCTAATGATAACTATCAAAACACCTGCCATTTGAAATAAATTATTATTATTATTCCTAGGCTAATTGGGAAACTTCGATAGAATGTGTATAAAATGATAGCAAGGCTTTGAGGAGTAGTATTAAATTAACTTGATGAAACAGTTACAGTACCCACTTATTACATCTGTGAACCCAAAAGTTGCACTAAATTTTTTATTTTGTCATAAGAAAAATCTATTGATATTAATAGGGTTTACTTTCAGAGGGTCCCTTCTCGTTGAAAAATTTTTTACCGATTTCATGCATTCGCGTGTAGCGGCAGGAATTTGCCTTCATATTGATGTATGGCTGGCCACATAATTAAATCTAATTGCTTACAAGTCTAAACTGAACCTGGAAATTGACAAACAAATATGACATTTACGTGCTGAAACACACTCTTTATGTGAATACCGGCGGTGAAATGCTTCCAAGATTCAAATATTGTTGGAATTTGATCGCTTCCTCATAGTTTCTTAGCTTATTATACAAGTTTGCTATTCTTTTTTGTTAGTTAAATACTTTCCATAATTAAAAATTTTAAAGTGGTCCTATTTCCTGGATAAATAAAAATTAATATTAATTAAGACTCGCTGAAGGCTTGAGATCTAATTTCACTATATCCGTATTCGTTTAAGGAGCTTCAAACGAGATATGAATTTGCTATGCAACATTTATGAATCAGAAATTTTCTTTCCTTCAAAGCTTTATAATTATCACTTCGAAGGTATTTATTTATTTATATCATTAGCCCTGGAGCTGAATTCGGGGCTTCACAGAGAGGAGGAGGTGAAACATTAAAGTGACCAAAAGTCGAGATGGGAGACAGAATTATGATTTACAGAGGTGAAAGATGCAGACAGACACAAAGGCATAAAAAAGGCAAGATGAGTACTGTGGAAGGGGTTGAATATGACATGCAGTGGGATCATGGTAGTTTGAAGTCAGAAGTCAACTGCCGGTTTATAGACTTTTTTTGCCGTATGAGTATACGTTGCCCAGGGTGCACCACGTGGAGGTAAGTCTATTGCGCACCCCATCACTTCGAAAGTAATTGGCGGTAGAATTTAGGTGTCAACCACAAATTGTACATCGGCACTCCTTCGAATTTGAAATTAAACACACTGAATTTAAACAGTTCTGGGCTCGACATTTTTTTGCCTGAACCCTCGTGATTACACGGCTGTTTACGGTGACTTCAATCACGAAAAGATGTAGTCGCGGTAATTGTAAACCAAAGTGCCCTAAAAACTGTAAGAACTGTGCGGAATATTTTTTAATTTTTTTTATTTTGAGACTACTTTTATTGTGAATTTGTTGAACCTAAGGTTAAATGATAGGTTTTCAAGTATTTAGAGTAGGAAAGTTCGAACTGATGAACTGAATAAGATGACGCTTTCCCAACCCCCCCCCCCTTTCCCCTGAGGTACCCGATTCGCTTTTTGTCAGGACAACCATTGATCATAAAATTATTTCAAATCTTCATTAGAGACTATAGCCAAATGATCATTCTGCCAAACTCCTGATGTGCAATAATTGGGGTAGAATCGCTTACCATCAATTCTCTGATTTCCAAAACTGTATCAGTTACTGAGAGAAAACAACAAAACAGTTGCTGTACAATGGATCCCTGGAAACTGTGGCATTAAAGGCAATGAGCATGTTGACGCACTTGCTAAGAATAGGATCACAATTTTGCAAGACATAGGCCGGCCCTGTCTTTCCACACAATGAAGACTTTAATCAGGAGAGAATTCAAGACCCCAAGGTGCAACAAGCTTAAAGCTCAAACAAAGGAGAAACAGTAGACAGTGGCACTCTCCGACATAGCTGAATGGCCAAGAATCGAGACTGTTGCCGAGTTTAGACTACGTACCGGACATGATTGTCTGGCGAAGCACCTTCAAAGAACAGGAGTATACACTCAGACAACATGCCCCCTATGTAACCTACAGGAGGAAATGTAGAAGACCCATCTGATTCAGTGTCCAGCCCTAAAGACAACGACGGAAACACAGAGATACTGGGGAAGTCAGAAGGCAACTAATAAACTACTATAAGCTGTCTTAAAGCCTTAATATATGTTCTTCCCCCCTCCCAAGTCAACTAAGGGGCTAATGGTAAATATCATAAAGCCTGACAATTGAAATAATTATAATGATTTCCTATGCGAAGTTTTTTTTAAATTTGCGCTTACATTGCTCAAAAATCAACCTAAACATATTTGGAGGTTGCAATGGCTTGGAAACTATTGAATAATCGCTCCAAAACAATTATCTGAGTTATTTTTTAACCTCATGTTGAAGTAAATCGTTGTTTTGCTTGTCTATTCTTGTCTTTAAAATGTTATCTTAGACAGAGAAATAGCGTAACATTTTATCCCCACTCGGTGAAATCATAGTGGGGAGATATCGGTTATAGATTTTGTGCCTGAGTATTAGGTAGATGCTGTTATCAACTTTATCCGTATTTCTTACAAAATTGGTGACCCTGATATGAAGATTTATTTATATCAAATGGCAGGATTGATGATAGCTACCACTGGCCATTTGGTTGACTTCGGACTTCGCAGAGAGGAGAAACATCGAAGACACCAAATTCGAGGGGTGGTGGGGGCAGGAGAGCTATTCAAAGAGGGGAGGAATATCAAAGTGAGGCTATCAAGCAAATATAATACGGTATTTATTTATTTGTTCTAAATGGCAGGCGTTTTGATAGTTACCATTAGCCCTTTTGCTGACTTCGATCTTCATAGAGGGGAGGAACATGAAAGAGAGAAAAAGTGAGGAGGGGAAACAGAGGAGTGTTTCACAGATGTAGAAGAGACAGGCAAGCACAAATGTAGTGAAAAGGTAAGATGAGTACTGTGAAAGTGGTTGAATATGATATACAGTGGGGATGTGGTAGTTTGAAGCCGATTTATATACCTTTTTGCCGTATGAGTATACGCTGCCCAGGGTGCCCTATGTGGAGGCAAGTCTATCGCACACCCCTGATAGGAAGATAAAGTGAATAAAATTCTTCTTTGGAATGAAACTGATTAACAAATCATGGGATTTGGAAATTAGGAGAGTAAAGCGCAACTACATATGGAATGTAGAAGATTGAAGTAAGTAGATCCAACACTAAGAGGTAAATATCAGAGATAAACATAAGTGGTGAGCAACATCTCTACAAATTAACAATTTCACGCTGGTAAAATATTTAATTGAAAGATGTCACGATGTGCTGGTGATTTGTATTGTACATTATGGAATCGTATTTTAATTTCCATTACTGAACCAT